TCAGAGACTTGAGTGTGCCGCAGAGAAATGAAACCTGATTGACACACAGCTGAAGTTATGGAGCTGTCGTTTCAACTCGTCAGCTCCTGTGCGACAGTGGAGTGAGTGACTGCGACATGCTACGCAGGAATCTCAGAGGGAGGTGTGTGTAAATGTGTGATGGAGGGAGAAAGAAGGGGAGAAAGAGGAAGTCTCTCCACCTTGCTGTGTCAGCAGCACTGCTGCACAGAATTAAATGACAGACTTTAGGGGGATGGATATTTGAGAGCAGCTGCGGCTTGAGTGGGAGAGAATAAAGTCTGCAATCAATCTCTTTTTTTCTGTGTGGGAACAGTAGGCCTGTGTGTGCTGGTTGTGTCTGTTAGCTGAGCTCTGTGTACTTAGATGGCGGAGAGGCTCCATTGTTATACCAGATCTAAGGTGATGAGGCCAGGCAGCCATGTAATCCACCTAAAAACAACCCAGCCACTCAGAGGAAGACACTACATGGTAAATGGACCTGTACTTGTATAGCGCCTTTCTAGTCTTCTGACCACTGAAAGCACTTTTACACTACATGCCACATTCACCCATTCACACACATTGACTCAGTGATGGCAAAGCCCATTAAACAGAAACTAACTCATTCATACTCATTCACACACTGATGCACGGCATGACATGAGCACAGTGATCAGAAGCAAACTTTGCTGTTTGTTTGAGTGAACTTAACAATGCAAAATATTAGGTAGAGTAGGTCAAACTAACTACTCATAGAGTCTTCAGACCTCTCTTAAGACAATATTTATCTGTGAGCAAGTCATACCAGGGATGCAGCTAATGCTAAAGGTGACATATCCAAATATCTTGTTTTGTTCAACCATCAGTCCAAAATCCGAAGATATTCAGTTTAATATCACACAAAGCAAAGAAAAGTAACTCAAACGATTCATTGATTATCACAATAGCTGCAAATGAATTGTCTGTTGATATCCAGTTTATATGGAAGCCACTCATCAGCCACGAAACAAGTATAAAAAAAATTAAGTTTGCTGCTCTGGAAGGAGAGAATCTGTGAAAGTAAATGAACATAAATGACCTGTTTGAACAGATCTGAGGGAGACCGCAGAGAGCTAATTCTCCATGATCACCAGCCCATCCTTTAACATATTTGATCCATCAAAGTGGAAAAGTGGTTGGGTGTGATCCCTCTGAGAGCAGGCCAAGCACTTTGGCCGGAGCAGCCAGTGTTTGGTTTGGCTTTGCCGTGCTGAGACTGGGCAGGTGGAATTTTTCCACTGGCAGAGAGGAGGCAGGGGGTGAGGGGGGTGAGGGGGGGTTAAAATCAGGGCATAGAGGGTGAGTAGAGTCACAGGTAGGGACACAATGAGGAGGGCTGGGTAAAAATGAAAGTAGGTAAGGAATTAAATTCAGCACACAAACACGCTGACTCATCGTTGTGTCATCTCTCAGAAATCCCCAAACAAACAGCGGATCAGTGCATACCTCGCTGGTTCTGACGATGAGGCGGTACTGGTACTGGTCCTTCAGGTCTTTGGTGTCCTCCAGTTTCTCCCTGCGGATGCTCAGGGCCACAGCGCCCATCTTTTCGTCTGTCCCGAAGTAGTTTGAGTGCTCTGGTGAAGGTAAAGGAGATATTAATGTTAACGTTTGTGCTGTGGAGAAAATGTTCATTCATTCATTCATTCATTCATTCATTCATTCATGTCTGAACATTAACTTGGAGTGTTTGGATACTAATTGACTTGATTTTAAGCAAAAATACCTAAATTTAGTGGTTTAACTGGTTTCCTATGAAAGTGTGTTCTAAAAGTAAAGTTAACATTGTTAAAGTTGTGAGGGACATTTTTTACTGTTTTCTAGACAAATTTTGAAAACAAAATATCATAAACCTATAATAGACCAAATAATTAAGTAAACTTATAAATAGTTACATGGTGTTTAAACAAAAACCTTAACTAAATAAAATCCAGTCTTTAATTGTAAATATTATGGTTTAAATCAGTAAATATCTCACTAAATATAAATATTTGATCTTAAACTTAAGTAGTTTTTGATACTTGGTGCAACAGACGCATTTTTGTCAGTAATAAAAAGGTATTGACGTTTGATACAAAACCTACATTATAACCTTCAAGAGACAAAGATGAGACAGGAGTCTGACAGCGGGAGAGAGGGGTTGTAAGAAAAGATACCAGGCACTGCATGTGTAGTAAGCAGGACTGACAGAGGAGGGGCATTAAGTCAAGGACAGGACCGACACAATGACATGTTATCTAGTAATCAATACTCACATAATTACAAAATCAATTTAGCTAACACAAGGCATAACCCAGAGAAAATGATAATGGTTACTAAGGAAGGGTGAGGATTAAAGGGCTCAATAGTTGTATGCTGAAGGTTTTCTGATGCTGTGTGTAGGAACTTCACTACAACAGGAGATTAAATACAATTAGACTCCATAAGAGTATAAATGAACAAATATGTTCTCAGACTTGTAAATCCAGAAAATTAACTAATATTGTGTCATAAGTCGCCAATTAACATTATTGTTACCAGTGTTGGCACCCAACATATTCACCCATTAAGAGGCCGAGACAAAGTAATCAACACACTTCACAAGCATCTTGCATGTCCTCTTCTAAAGCTCCTAAGCTAAGCCGTGGTAATGCCAACGCCACAGGCAGCGTGGGAGTCGAAAAGACAAATTCTCCAGACACTCGGGGAGGAATCTAGCTTGACAAGTATTCCTCCTCAATCCCCCGTCCAACTGGAATGAACCGGGACGACTAACACGTTGGGAGACTGAGGCCTGCTTAGCTTCCATGCCATGTCCTGTGGTGAAAATGTCATCTTTTTGATGAGGCTTTCTGACGTGCACACAGGGCACATCACAGCATACACACACAATCACAGTTGCGTTCTGGGGGACAGCTAAGCTGGAAACAAGTCAGCAGATGAACATATTTTTGGAATGATAACCTTTATCTGTGTGGCTGCAGGCCTGTCTCTCCCTCTTACACACACACACGCTTGCTTGCACACATGTGCTCCTAACAGCATCTGTCACTAATTAGGGTGCAGCCAGATGATGCTAGCCCAGGGGAAGTTTCATCCACAGTGTCTGAAGAGGTGATGTTGACAAGGAATGCCCATATAGTCGCGGACAGGCGCACATCACACACCATTCCTCTCTGAAGTTAGGTGTTACTTCTGACACTGAAAAACCAGATGAAAAACAAAGCTGCACTGGCCGACTGTAGTAAGTGGTACTTGTGATTGTGTAGAAAGGCAGGTGGTGTATCATCAGCTCAGAGTTTGCCAACAGTCCAGTGGCAGGTACATGTGTAATAAAAACTCTGGGAGTGTTGCCAGCTTGGCCCACTCTGCTCTGCTCAGGCCCAGCTGGATATTAACAGCCGCAGGATGAGATGTGGGGAATGACACTGGAGAAACTCTGGCTGGACAATCGGCATCTACACTGTCTACTTCATACAGACGAATAACAGCAAAGGGCCCCAAATCAGACTATAAAATAGCAACTAGCAATTATTTTCATTCGACAAGAGTAATGACCGGCCTAAATTGACTGACCAAATGTTTCAGCATGAATATGCTGTATGAAAAAGTTAGAGGGAAAGTAAGTAAGAAAGTATCTGAATATCTAATTGAATCTTAAGTGTCCAGATGGCTCATTCATTACTTTATTCTACTTATATCTAGTCTTAATGCCTTATGTCTTATGCAAAGCCTTTTAATTGTCTTGTTTTTGAATTGTTGTGCTAGGCAACCTGCCCATCCTACTTGAGGGATGCTCTCATTGTGTTCATGAGAATGAATGCTGCTTTTGCCCATTTTCATTAACTCCAACTTGAATAAAACGTGTTTAAGCATCTCTAAACAACAGTTACTAGTTAATAAAAGAATAACCATGTATTATCAATTTCCTCTCTATATATTTTGTTCCTGTGACACACAGTAACACAGCTCAACATCAATGAATAATTACGGTTTAAGTGTGATTATCTGGCTCATGGTGAATGTGTTTCAGTATTACCTTTCCCATGGAAGTACTCTCTGTAGTACCTGGCCCCCAGGTCTACATGCTCTATGCTGTACAGTTTCAGTCGGTCCAGTCTCGTAACCTGCTCTTCGATAGGCACCTCCAGCACGGAGACGCTGGCGTTACTCCTCCTCAGCCAACCCCTCGCTCCGTCTCCTCTGTCTCCTCCTCGCTCTGCTGACGAGCTGAGGAAGCTGATGTTGCGCTCCCCGTGGCCCCCCGTCTCATTGAGGAAGTGGGGGCAGCAAAGGAGCAGTGGGCTCGAGTTGTGGGCGCCAGGAGGCCCATCCAGGGGGTCCACGCCCAGGGAGGGTGTGGTGGAGCCAGGGTCGAGGCTCAAGGTCAGATCCTCTATGCTGGAGTAAACTGGGTCGTTCACACTCGGAGCCGTGGATCTGGAGACGGACAGGGACACTGAAGCAGCTGATGCCCCTGTGGCGGTGTTCCTCCTCTGGGCAGCATAGCCCCGCTGAGCCGCCGCCTCGTGGAGGTCAAACAGGATGCTCTGAGCATCGTAGTGGACAAAGCTCTTGGGGCACACCCACGGTTTGTAGGAGGCGTCCCCTGAACCCCTCCCTCCCCCATCCTCACTAGTCTCTCCTTTCCCTCCATCTAGCTCGCTGCGACTTGAGCTCCTTAGTTTCCTGAACAAAGAGGAGGTGCCCAGTGACGACTCGGTCCCTCCACTTTTCTTCCTCACTCTCTCAGCTCCGTCCTTCCTTCCTGTCCCTCTGTCATCCCCACCTGCGGGACCAGGTGAAGGAGCAGAGGGGAGGGGTGCGCTTGAGTCTGGAGCGCGCAGCAACTCCCCGAGGCGTATGGGTGCTGAGCTGCGTTGGTCAGGCCTCTCCTGGTGGAACTGGCTGAGCATGTCGAAGAAGCTCTGCTCAGGAATGCCCTGGATGTCGATGGAGGAGGTGCTGCCATATTCTCTGAACAGGTTCCCCATCCCGCCACTTCCACGTACCTCCACCTAGGAGCAGAAAGGAGGGAGACTCTTCAGTTTGTGAGGACATATCAGTGGATACAAAACAATTTAATATTAATGCTTCATGGGTAAACGCTGCAGAACTAAAAGGCAACATAAGACTCACCTCATTTTCATCCTGTTCACTCAGTGTCACCTCGCTGTTTGAGCGCTGTCTCAATGGAGGGAACACTCTGAGGCTAAAAGGTGAACCTCTCTCACCACCAAACCCTCCTCCTCTGAACTCTACATCCTTGGATCGACGTCGTGGCAACCTGGCCACGCCTCCTCGCACTAACCCCATGTCAGACGACAAACGTGAAATTGAAGTGGAGCCGTCATCTATGTGGCGACTGCTGCCAATTTGCCCATTTTCAAGCAACGACTCTCTAGACTGCGCACGGCGAGGGGGCCATTCTGCAATCCGTGCACGAACACCCATGCGTGGTTTGATGGCTGAGTCTGTGAGGCCAGGAGCCGGGTGGCCGTTGGTGGTGTGACGAAACGGAGTTTGCTGTAGCAACCCTCCTCCTCCTCCATCCAGGAGGTCCGAGGATGTGCAAGTCACCCCTCTGTCTCTGTAGCTGTTCATGGCACCCCAGGAGAGCTCAGGGCAGGGAGGCAGGGGGCTGGCATCCCATTTCAGGAGGGGTGCTGGGAAACAGGGAGAGGAGGGGCCCCACGCACACTCGGCTGACGGTTCTACAGCCTCCAGCTCCCAAAACCATTGCTTTTAACTGGCAGGATGGGGGACACTTCACTGGTCCATGGAGGACCAGTTTGAGTCAGGGCCGGTTCTCTTCTTCTTGGACTATTTTCAGTCTAATGCAGATCTGCAAAACAAGGAATAACAATCATTCCAACAAATCCGCTTCAGAGAATCAGGACAAAAACAAATCTAAAACCAAAAGAAATTAGATTTGAAATAGTTGAAAATATTTTTTTTTAAATCACAGAGCTTGTATGACCCAATTTTTTTTCAAAGAAAAACTGAGAAAAGAGTGAATCACTCAACTGTACAACAATGTAAGACTTATAAGACAGAGAGAGAGAGAGAGAAAATAAGGTGAGGGGATACGACAGAGGATTTCTCCCGTTGAGGCTAATCTTCAGGAGGCTGACAAGGGATATTATTATCTCACACTCCGTGCACTCGAGAGCATGTGCGTGCACACACAAACCCTCATATACCCACAGGACATGAACGCTGTGGCCGCTCTTCTGAAGATTAAAACCACTGAAACGCTTCTGCTAATATCACCAGCCTAGAAAGTAATACAGATCCAAACAGAGGGAATGTACACAGACAATTTAAACACTGTAGCATATTCACTACTCATGTCTCTGATTTGAAAGACAGTGATGATGAAAAGCTTGTATGTGTGTCGGAGTCGGCTCATGGCTGAGACACAGAAGCTACTCTATTCTACTCTGAGTGAAGCCAAACAACAAACAACTACAACTCTGAGACGGGGAGATGAATAGCGACTTCAGGAGAGACAGAAAAGGGCACAGAGTGACCCAACAGCTGGAGGGGTGGGGTAGGGTAAATCCAGAAATAGAGTGATTTGACAGAGTCAAAAAAGAGCAAGTAGAAGAGAGGTACATTGCTCAGTGACCCACAGCGACATGCTTTAATATGACAGTCACACTGCATCAAGTCTTAGAAATCCACCAGCCTTGTAAAGACTCTTGTTTACTCAGAAGCATCTCATCTTACATGTGCAGAGGAATACTGTCAGAGCATTTGGGTTTTAAATTAAACTCTATATTATGTTTAAACTTATTGTTTGGGGATCTAAAAAGCTAAATTATACTCATGCGGCACTCTTGTAAAGTTCCCGGCAGCCTGAATCATTGCACCCTTCGGTCAGCAGTCCAGACAAAATGTTCAAGTCATGGCCATTTTTTTTGGGGCTGTGAATGTTGTGGTTGTTGTTCAGAGTGACGGCTGGGAATTCATATTCGAGAGTATTACGATGTGGTTATGACTCCACTGGATGACAGCAAGCAAAGACAATGGGCTGGCAGTGGGAGCTTGGCAGCCTTAAACAACAAACACACTGAAGTATGCTGTACAGTACGTGTTTGGATGCCACCAACAGCGTTTCTATAGGTTTTAAAGTTAAATTTAAGAATACATATGCTATTTAATATCTAGTTCACAATCACACTGATATACAGTGTGATGTAAAACTAGTAAGGATGATATGGTCTAGAAATATTTATTATCATATCACATTTGTTTAGTTCTTGCCAGCAGTATATACAATTTTATAAATGATATAATTAATCTAATTGATGCGACTTGGATCAAGATAAGTTGCCGAAAATGGATGATTACACAGACTAACCCACTGGTTTTCAAACATTTTCACACAAGGGGCCCCTAAATGGGCACAACTTAGACAATGGACTGCCATTTGTATAAGGAGTTGTCCAAGGGTCCCCAATCTGATAGGATTTTTAGATGTTTATTTACAGAAAGTATATGAAACCAAAACAGTCACATATTCATTTGTCATTGTGTTACATATAAATGTAATTATAGTGAAAGTAAATGATTCCCCTTTGTGCTGGGGCCCCCTGAAATCCTCTCCAGGACACCCATTAAAAACCAATTAAAAATGATTAAATTAGTTAATTTACATTTTTGCTAAAACCAATACACCTTCACATTATAAGACAATAAACGTCTACTGCTGCTACTATAGCTAGCAGTAGTGACAGTGTCCAAACAAAACTGCCAACAGCATCGGACACAAACCATTTTATAAGCAACATTACTGCTTATAAAGAGAATTTTTTTAATACCTTCTGCTGATTTTTTCGAGGAAACTCAATTCCTCTTCTCTCTTCAAGACCAGCAGAAACCCTGATTACACGACTCAACATGCAATATGGAAAACATGATAATAATAGTCTGCGGGAAGTTCTAGACATTTTGAATGAGCGCTTTTGCTAAATGTCTAAAATGTAAATGTGTTCAATCCATCAATCTCTGCTGTAGTCAAACTGCTCGTGTTTCTAGCGCTACTCTTCCTTTCTTCCAAATTTCCTTTTCCATTCTCACATTCCTGTCTTATCTCACTCTCTATTCAGGTCTTAATTCCTGGATTAAAGCCCCTTTATCTGCAAAAGTCCCCCCTCAAACCGTCAAAGTCATTCAAATGTCTATACTATATTGGCTCAGAGGGCAAAAATATATTATCTGCATATCTACTTTTTAAAATCATTCATTCTTGCAAATTTGACAGTTTCCCTTCTTCATATTCCTGCATCATGGATCTATGAAATCTTCCCGTCATTGTTTCTCGCAATCATTTGTCTTCACCACAACATGTGATTCAACCCTACATTTCATCACACACAGCTCTTCATTGGTATGTTCAGCTTTTTATTGAGATAGCCACTGACCTTTGACAAATTTCACAACTGTAGAACTGTTTCCCGTGGTTTATCGGATAGGAGCAGTAACATTTTTACTCCTCAGACAAAAGCTTTAAGGAATCAAATCATATGATTCACCAACAAGCAGACAAAAATCACACACCTACACACATGCCCAACTGTATAATCATTGGGACTTCCATCTAAACACATTAAAATTTAGGTGCTTTCATTGATACAGCTGTTACACATGGAACCACTGGGGTTTAAGAATCACAAACATTTGACTCTTTACAGGAAGTTTATTAGCCAGCAGAAAGTATGCATTAGGAACAATTTTGTAGCGAGAACAAATCTGTGCTTGTCTCTCTCCAGCTGCCTAAGTTTTTGTGCATTCTACAAATGTCGACTCCTGGGGAGACTATCTCGTTATGAAGTCCAATTTGCATAACGTTGCGCTTTTCATTGTGTCAAGGCAGCTCAGAGTGGTTTGTGTGTGTTTTATGATACACAACGCCTTTTATGAGTCCTCGCTGAATTCATTTTTGGCCCCAAGTCTGCATTACGTATTCACTCATACACGCACAAGAGCACCATCAACAGAACTCATTCACAGCAAACAAAATCCCCCTATAGTCACACAGCCGCGCAAATGTATCATGCCTTTGTTTTAGTAGAACCACAGGCACTTCCAGGCCAAAGGGCTCCTGCTCTGATCATGCTTTCTGACAGAGTCGCTCCTCATCCGGAGGGATGTCCTGTGATCCACTATCAGGCTCAATCCCAGATTATCCAGGCCCCAGCTGCAGGAGCGGCAGAATGACTTCATTATGTGTCTGAGGTGCCTGATGAGAGAGGCAATGGAGGAAGGGTGGTTTGATCTTTACTAGGGACTTCTGTCAGAGTGTCTGCAGCCACCGGCCTTTTAGTGAGAAATATACCTGACGGAAGTTCATCAGAAACCCACAGAGTGAGAGATACACACTGGTGATCTGGAGTTTTCCCTGTGAGACGGTTCAATTGTGAGCGTTTAGCAAAATCAATACAACACTCCGTCTCTCTCTGTGCTGCAGTACTTAAGCAAAGTGGTGCTTTGAGCTAAATGCTAACATGCTCACAATGACAATGCTAACATGCTGACGTTTTTAGCATGAATGATGTTTAAACCTGTTCAGTTCATCATCCTAGTTTTGTCTATTATCATGCTAACATTTGCCAATTAGTACTAGCTAAATAAAGTACAGCTGATACTGGGTTCACACTATGATTATCTCATATTGTTTTTATAAAATGAGATTGAAGATGAACTATTGAACGAAAAAAGATTCCTTTATTTTTACCTCAACCTCATAACATTTTACCAACACAAATACCGAATTCATAGCAAGTTGCAAATGAAAATAATTATAGACAGGCGCTGACCATTAACCAGGGTGGACCACCCAAAAATACTGCACAGTTTACCGAGTCGTTCAGCACATTTGTCTACCCAGACCACAACAGCAGTCAAAACACATCAGCAGCAGATCAAATATGCAACTTAAAAGACAGAGAGAGCGTTACACATCGGAGACCACACAAACCGTGACAAGGTCAGCACAGTTTCCAAATCCACCGATTATATAAAATATATTTAAACTCACCACTGGTGTTTTCAAAGCAGCACAATCTGCCAGTTAGGTGTTTTAAAAAGATATCAAACACCTGAGGATGTTTCAAAACAAATAATAGATCCATAATTTCCCCATTTAAACTAATTCGGTTTACCAATTTTAAACTGCAAAAAAATAACAAGAAAGGTGAGCTCAGGCCAGTGACAACCTAATATACCTCTGGTGTGGTAACACATTTATCACCTCTTCTCTCATGTTTATTACTCAGTTTACTTTTACAATCTGTCTTTCATACACAAAGACGACAATGAGAAGATTGACCGTTTGGTACGTAACTTGTACCAAGTAGCAAATTCATTATATTGCACTCCGGTATCTTTTGTTAATACCAGATACAAGTCTAATACCCATAAATTATGGCAAAGGGGAGTAAAATACAGACATTAGGAATTTATTATGATAATTTTTATTTTATGAGCATGAGCCTTGTGTGTGTGCAGGGGTGTAGTGGGGATAAACCCAAGTAAACTCTGTTATCCACCTTGGATACCACCTTCAGATCAACAACCACTAAATGAGGGAAAACTACAGGGGTTTACCCACCCCTGTATTTACCACTACATCCCTGAGTATGTGTGACAAAATATTCTCGAGTTACAGTCTTACGGTTTTGCCTGAGCTTTCAACAACAGTGAATGTTGTAAATGGAACCGACACACAACCAAACGTTGTGAGGAAAAACAGCCCCACCGCCTTTAACCCCCAAAAATGTATCAGTATCTGTGACATTAAATCAACAAGTGAGTGTAACTGTAAAATTAGATGTTAAATGATGTTGAAACATGATGAAACATTTCAAAAAAGAAGTTACAGCTCCAGTATGATGGGAAAATAAGAGCAGAAAGTATGAGGCCACACAGCCACACTGACACTGTACAGAAGTCAAATTAACTGAAAACCAGCAAACAACATATTTGCTCCATTGGTGAGATGGAGGGCACAGTAATGGACTTTAAATCAACACTACTACTAAATATCTTTATCATCTACAGAGAAAAGGTAAAAAAGAGAAAAGAAAGACTTTATCTTCATTAAACACAGTAAGAATTGAACACACACACACATAGCTTTGGCCCAGACTTCAGAAGATAAAGTGCAGACATTTAATGCCTTTTAATTACTCACATATAGTAATTAGTTAGCTCTGGGATATACCTCCTCTATTTTGACTTTCCCCCGTCTCTCCCATTCATGCTCTTTCCCTCCTTGCTCTGCATGTTGCAGGCTTGGCCCATGCACCACAAACGCACACCAAGGTTGGTAATTACACTGGTTAGATGGTAGTAATGACAGAGTTAGCAGAGGAGTACAGCTTCCAGAGGAATGAGTGTACTCTGTGTGGAGGAGGTGCCGATGATGCTGCTGCTCGCTGGTATGTCATACTAGGATGGGCAGACGTGAGATCCGATAGACAGAAAGCAGTCTAAATATATTTGAAAGGATGTGCAGCAAGCAAAATTCAAATGAAAAGACGAGCGTGCAAAGACCAAAGCTGGAAAATCTACAATAAGCATTTAATTGTAAACATTAACTGCTGATACTGCTGATATTGTGTCACAGCAGCTCAGAGTGTTTTTTTTTAAAAAAAAAAAAAGCTTTTTTAGAAATCCCCAAAGAAAAAAATAAACTCTCCAGACATAAAACATGAGGAGCAGTTACTATAAGTGTTTAAATTAACCAAACGATGCCAGGGTGCAAGCTAGATTATGGGCTGGTTTGAAGAACAGATGGCGGTACATATGACTGGCAGATGGCAGACAGGAGCAGGAGTAGAGCACGACACTGTAATACAACACAATACAGTGCTGGCAGGGAACAGCACATCCAGCATTCATGCCATCACGGCTTCTGAGGGAGCGGACAGACCGGGAGGTGCTATCAGATCTGCAATGACCCTGAAAATCGAACTGAACGACCTCAACTTATTCAGGTCACTTTAGCAAGTCTTAAGCTTTGACCTGATAAAATCTCCACATTAAAATGATACCACATGAGTATGGTATTAAAATCCAAACATATCCTTTAAGGGTCAGCATTAAGAGGCTTGAAAGACTTGTAATTTGCTCAAAAAGACCAAGAAAATAGCTCTGATAAACAGCAGCAGGTTCATGCAGGAGTCTAAAAGGAGAAAACCTCAGAGCATTGCTGAAAGGTCAGTGCCTTTAAGAGCAGGTGGTAGAGGTGAACTGTCTGCGACCGTGAGCAAAGTTCAGCGGATGTTTCATTGTGCTGTGGCACGGAGCAGCATGATGAGAGGCTACAGGATGACTGCTGGAGTCGGTCTGGGTTTTCCTGATGCGATTGTCGAGGCAACCTGTTTTCCCTTCTACAATAACAGATTTGATAAACAAATTTTTATGTCGTGCTGGAACACGTGCCGAATGGAGCTACAGGGATCTGCTTCTGACCAGAGATCACACTCAAACTCGGCTATAAGAGCAGCTTTTACACTTGACCTAAAATACCGATAGCAGCTGCACAAATGGTCACTCGTTACGTACAACAACTAACTGCAGGCGATCCTGGAAGTGTGACACTTGAGTCTCAGATACAAACCACCCCGAGTCCCCTCCATCAACAACAAAACTCTACAGGAAACACTGAAAACATTGACATATCAGAACATCGGGCAGGAAATAAACAGCCAAAGCCTCTGACTCTGGTCTATATCGGGCTTGTAGGTCTGTTTGGTTTATCTGGAGGCGACATCTCCCCCTCTCAAGACTGGAGCTTTACTAAGCTACAGCTCTCTCCCTGTCGCCCTGCTTTCCTTTCCACTCACTTTCCTCCACAGTCTTTTCCTCAAGTCTCCCCCGACCCTGCTGTCATTGTCTCCACTGATTTCCGTCTACATTGTTATGCTGAATCTCACTGATGTCGCTAGTGTCACTTCCATCTGCCTGTCTGTCCGTCATGTCGCTGCCCCATGACACTGAGACAGCTCGAGAGGAAGAGGAGGAGGAGGAAGGAGGAGGAAGACCAGGGGTTGGGGTGAAAAGAGCATTTAGTAAATATAGATTCGAAACGCACTCACACACTGTCAACACAAAACAAGTTTAACGATTTGCATTCAGTTGGAAGATCACGAATCGCAGCCCACGTCATCATTCATCATCATCACCACTCATCATCACCATCATCACCACTCACTAGAACAGATGAATGGTGATGAGGAAATCAGGAGCGTTGGAGGTGGGAGAGGAGAGAGTGTGTAAATATTCAGATACTGCAGCAGATACTGTATAAGATGTTTCAATCTCTCTGGTTTGTCAAATGATTTCCCCAAATAATCAAATTCATCCCGGGTCAGAAGTGAGTGGTGGTAGCTGGAGGGGAGTCAGAGTAGTGCTCAAGGATATTTCATTGAGCTAAAGACTTTCCAGCAGGGGTTCCTGAGCCTCAGCGGATTTCTAACCTAGTTTCATGGTAACAAAATAAAATCCATATTATGATATTGATGGGCACTGTTTTCTAATGTTTTATAGATCGAGGAAGCAACTAGTTAGCCCTTTATGTAGTTAATTTCTGGGAAGTTACAATAACTGGACAGATGTATCGGTTTGGCCAATTCAACTAATTTAAGTACCTGACAAACATAGATAAAGACAAGATACATCAACAAATTGACGCAAGTCACATCCAATATAGCGATAAAGCAGTCCTACTCATTGATTTGCAGGAATGCCCCACTATACTAATATACCCAGAGAGATTAATGGCAAAACCTCTGATGGTTGACAAACTTATATTATATGTATATATAGTATATGTCATGATATCGCCCTATTGAGATTTTCCTCCTATACAGCTTTCTGTCAGTTTCAACAATGTCAGGGATTACATTAAAAAAGCTTTGTGAATAATTATTTTGCTACACCTATTGCAATTTTTTTAATATTTACTCCCCCTTTGTTTACTAGTGTCCAGTAAGAGAGTCCCAGCCAGACATAGCATTAAAATATGGACATATGAACTAATTAAAATGTTTTTATATTTACCACAAAAAAGAAATCCTAAAGAATAAAACAATTAAAACACAAGAATTTCAGCTTTTGTGGCCAGCACCTCGTTGACACTAGAGCTAAAGACAGCTAACATTAACACCGTCAGTTCAGAGGTTTAAGTGCTTCCTGAAGCCAAAAAAACAACAGTTCTGTAAATCACAAGAAGGTACTGATAACAACAAGTCTATGACAACAACCAGAAAGAACCCTGAAGCAAGTTCTCGTGAGCCGTTACTTAAATCAGAGAGAATTAGTATGACAGACCGAACAATGCATTGTGGGAGTCCCTATTAAGCTCGATGTTGTGTTGCGACGGTGACTGTTACTGCAGCTCTCCTCCATAGAAAAGGGAATATTACAGGTACCCTACTTTTCATTATCAGTACAAAATGCAGATGAGGAAGTGCTTTATCTACCAAATAGCAGAGCAGACAGCTCACCCCTACACTGCAGAAAAATATCCAGGTCATCAAGTCAATTAGCCTTTTAGTCTTTGGACGCCATTTGTCTTATAAGGAAACATTCTGCAATTGAAGGGAGTTATGTTTGAAGTTATATCGAAGCATTAGAAGAGAAATGCTTGCATTAAAAGGTATAAAGACAATTCAAGGAAAGTGGATCACACAGCCCCAAAACAAATGTTTGGTTTTAAGTAAGATAAATGTTACAGTATGTAACAGTCCACATAACCAAACTTCAGATTAAAACAAACAAAATACAAGTTTCTATTCTAAATTACAAACATATGTGCAACATCAAATGTACTAATCCTACCTTGTTCTGCCTTCAGCTGTGCAGTATGCAGGTAAAGCAGGTGTGGTGAGGTTTGACGTCACAGTGCAGGAAGGGAAGGCTCAGTATTTTACTCTGCAGGAGAACAAAAGAAGAGAGAAATTTATATTTTCGTTTAACTTTGTTAAGTTGACATCGGAGAAACATCTCAACTTCTTCATGGAAAATAATGCTCTACAGCAAATCTTGTGATGTGTTGTTTTTTAACCTTTTTGTATTTCACATAATCTGTGTGTGTATGTGTGTATGTGTGTGTATGTGTGTGTGTGTATGTATATGTGTGTGTGTATGTATATGTGTATGTGTATGTGTATGTGTGTGTGTGTGTGTGTGTGTGTGTGTGTGTGTGTGTGTGTGTGTGTGTGTGTGTGTTCCTGCAGAGCAGCTGTAATCAGTTACACGCTCATCAGGTCATCCACACAGACATGTCCATTGTTTGTGAGGAGTCTGAACAAAGATGCCCGAGGCGGTCTATCTGTACTGTAAACACGTTTGCATACACACAAACACAGTTAAAAGTACCAGGTAAAGTACGTTTAGCAGCATTTAGCCTCTGCAAAAACTGATGTGGTTTTAATATTAGCTCAGATATTGAACCAGAAAAAGAATGTGTATACAAATCAAAACAGCACACAAAAGTTTCAACAAACGCAACAAACTTGTGACGTTGTCTACTTCCTGCCTCATCCTCACAAACCTTCTTCGTCGTCCAGCTCTTTCTTGGGCAGGGATGGAAATACAAAGAGAGAGCGAAGACAAAGTGAAGGAGGCAGTGCACTCTGATTAGAGGTCGAGGAGCCTAAGAACAGAGGTGGGGGAGGGCTCTTCAAATACAAGTGGGACATAAAGAGAGGGGTGAGGAAGGGGGCGGGTGGGAATCCGCAGACATAATGTCCTGAGGGGAAAGCCCATTACTGTCTGACAAATACAGTTCTAATCAATACTGATCAATCAGGGTCCACTTACCCTGCCACGGCAAGCATAATAACACTGTCTTTATGCAGCGGGGGGCTGCAGAGTGGACAGGGGTCACTGATTGTGTGAGGGTCTATTTTCCTACAGCAAAGGGTCCTTAAAGTAAGCAGTGTCAGTGTGGATATAAGGGTCAGGCTTTACTCCACTGCCCTAGAAATGAACTTAAACTGAGTTAAAACTTCCGAACCATGGCAGACTTTGCACCACAGACCCCAGGCCTCAGCCCTGAACTGATTATACCACAACTTTATATGTGAGGTGCTGTATACAGCCACTGCCACACACACACACACACACAGACACAGAGACACACAGAGACACACAGAGAGACACAGAGACACACACACAGACACACACACACACACACACACACAAAAAAGACACAACACACAGAGACACACACACACAGAGACACACACACACACACACACACACACACACACACACACACACACACACACACACACACACACACACACACACACACACACACACACACTCTTCAGGACATATATTGCATTAGTGAAATCAAATCAAACACTCACGCTAAAACCCTAACCACCTTAACCACCTAAGATGACTTTAAACTAGCAACATGTGACGGGTATAATGAATAAGGTTAATAGGGTTTACTAAATATTTACATGTCCACTCACCGCTGAAGCTATAAATACAATGTTGTCAAGCTTTTCCCTTTAAGCTTTGGAAGGCACACTGTTGCCAAAACGTCAGCTCGTGGAATAAAGTCTACTCTGCATACCCGTCATTCCAAAGGGCTCCTGCTTTCTTTTGCAAGTTACTTGTTTTCTACCTAAAGTCGCGATGCAACCAGTGTGTGTGTGGGCCATTCAATAGGGCGCAGTGATTAAGACAGGTGTTTTAATGTGTATTCTGGCATTAACGGGTTTCCACAGAGGCCAGTCAACACCTAACTCACGAGTCACAGCCACAAATGACATTGGCAGAGTGGTCAGAACTAAGCTCAGCGACCGGAGTGAGGGGACTCATACCGACATAGCTGGTAAACCACACACACATACACACCACAGAGCTACAAACTCACAAACTGCCACAGGGTTGAGTCATCACCTCTGTGCCACAGGCACAGCTTAAAATGTTTGGTATGATGATCAGAAAGCTGGCATCTGTGGCACTGCTGTATTCCTGTAGTACCTGTATCTGTCAACAAAATCTAGAGCAGCTCTTTCAACCATTTTCTTATGTCAGCAAAGCAGGTATGTGAACAACTTGTAAGGTCCACTGGGTCTGATGATTGCCTGATATTACAGTGAAGGTCTCAAGACGCACTGCGGAACAAGTTCGACAGAGGATCTGTGAACCCCGGGATGAAGACGAATGACCTCTGTACCCTCCACAAACATCACCGAACCTTTACATGAAGCAGTGGAGTGCAGAGAGCAGAGCTGAATTCAGAGCAGATGTCCACACGTGTCTGGTGGAAAGTCGATTTGTGTGACTGGGACTCTGGTAAAGTCTGGAGTCTGCTGTATATTTAGTAGTGGAGTCACTCTCTGTGGCTCTGAATCCTGCCAGACAGAATAACTGTCACACAGCCAGAACACAGTTGGCTTACTCCATATATGTGTGTGTGTGTGTGTGTGTGTGTGTGTGTGTGTGTGTGTGTGTGTGTGTGTGTGTGTGTGTGTGTGTACAGTATGCTTTCAGGACAGTTTACATAAATAATTATATAAATAAATACATTAATCTGTGTTTCAGAGGAGACTGACAATCGAAGGCAACCACCACTGACGGGATAAAAAGAGTCAGTAAATGTGTCTGCAGGCGTGTCTGTGCCTTCACCTTCGCCGTCATTGGCATTGTGTTGTGATTAGGATGGGATTACTGACAACTCTGATGCATGAATATTTCAGAGCATTTTCTGTGTCAGTACTCCTCCAGAGTTCAGCCTACTCAAGCTTTTACTCGTGCTGAGTGTTGAAAAAAGAGCAAGCTCTTTTCTAGAAAGCTGAGAGGTCATCACAATATCTGTGCAACACATAATAAATAAATGTTTGTTGATTCATCAAAGGCTGTCCATGTGGCGTCTTCAGCTCTTGGCATTAGATGCATGTTATGATATGTTACAGTGAATTAACAGTGATTTGTGTGAAGATTTGCTGATTTTCTCTGTTTATTATTATTTTAAACTGAATATGTTTTGGTTAGGGACTGATGGTCAGACAAGAAGCCATTGAAAGATTGTAATGGGCATTTTTTTATCATAATGAAAATAATGGTTAGTTGCTCACTTAACACACGTGGCAATAACCCAACAATCATTCAAACATACAACCTGCTGTCAACATATGCAATAATATAAAGTGTTTAACTTTCTCATCATGACAGTCTTTCAACTGAACATTTCACACCGTTTGATAGAAACCAGCAGTCACTTCATTGTTGTCTGAATATTGTGTCTATGTTTGCACATCCTTTACATATTATGCTGTAGTCTAGAGTGGGTAATGAGTACACATGCTGCAGGAGAGGGAGGGAACCCCCTGCAGAGAGGGGTGGGTAGCCCCATTCACACTCCAACACTGGGAGGTGGGGATTGCCCACACTTTCATCCCTTTCACATCTCCATTCCTCTGCACGCCCCTTCGTCTTCCCCCAGTGATTCTCGCCACCTCATCTTATTCGAATTGAAATGGGGAGCAGTGGGGATGTTAGGGGCGGAAAAAGGATCTCGCTTCGCTTCCTTCCTCGCACAAGTGAATGACACGTGGCTCCGTCCTGCTGTAAAGCTTCCCACTGTGAAGATCTTCATTAAGATGAAATCAGGATAGAGTGGGAGTGTCGCATGAGAGCAAACCACTGGAAAAGCAGAACGAAACCAGACTGTGTTCTTAAAGTCTATAAATAAATCAAGCTGAAAGTTGCTCTGATCGATCAGCAGCTGATCAATGACTGAAGATTTATTCTAAATGAGATTGCATTGCAAAGTAAGTGTGCACAATTTGCATTATCTGATACACATGAGGCAGTAAATTATTATCCTCTTGCAGCAAGTCAACAAACACCATGTTTACTGCCATCCATCAGACTGTTTTAGACTGTAATTATCTACTTGGAGAGAATTTCTGGAAAGAATCCTAAACTTGCTGAGAGTCTGCGGGTTGTTTGTTCCAACGATTATTTATTAAGACTCATTTTTAATTATTACTTGCTAAGAAACTGATTATTGCACCATGTTAATGATATTCCAATCTGAGCTTCCTTGACACAAACAAAAAACAATTAACCAACTCAAAATAAGATATTTCTCCATCTTTAAAAGGTCCACTGGCCGTGTGCTTTAACTCTGGGCAACATAAGAGGAAAATACAGTGATGAAGTCATATGCAATACACAGAGCTCTCTTTCACCAAAACCACTTGGAAATGCTGCTGTAGCTGTTTGATCGCTATGCTGGTGCTGGTTGCCATAGGAACGGGAAGGTGCACCAGCAAAAAAGACGTATGATGTAGGCGGCGGGCCGCAGGCAATCAGGACACACAACCTGAGAGAGCGAAGCAGTAAATAATAAGACACAACGCAGCAATCCACATAACACAGCCATCAGTTGGTCACTTTGCAGTCTGCTGTCACTGCAGCAGTCTGCAGCAAAGCTCACACAAACACACACCGCATGTGCTTTAATGGAATAACTGAACAACTCTAAAGTTTGCTCAATCAAAGCGCTGCAGTTTCATTCTTTGATTTAACTTCTGTCTGCTAACCCAAATGTCCTCAGATCTGTTCCTGCTCCCTCTGTGGTTTAATCAGTCTGTCCACGTCCCCTCGTGACCACGTGCCATGCAAGCATCAAAGCATGTTAGAATGGGCTCTAAACTCTTCAAACACATGAAAAAGCTTAGGGCTGTAAAAGTGCCCTCATCAGCAGTCTTCCAGCATCTGTTACTTGTTTTTGTTTCCATAGCATAATCCAGTTTAGCAAATTCCATGCATTTTCTATAGATGGTCATCTTAGATGCTATCTATGGTGAATTAACCAGCCATATGCCAAGCTCCAGAGCCAGCTGTATGGAGAGGCTTTTCAATTACATCTGCAAAGCTTGAACCTGGTGACAGAGTAA